ATGACTCGTTAATAAGTTGGTATTTGTTTTGGTTTAAATCGGATAGTTCGGTATTTAAATGACAGTTTTCCCAATAATATATACTATTTAATAACAATAAAAACACCTGTGATATTGCAAAGAACTCTGATTCTTCTCTTTCCTGTAAATTTTTGGCCAGATCTAGAAGTTCTTGCCGATTTGTCTCACACATCACCTGAAAAAGAAAAAAAACGAAACTTAAGGGCTTGTTCTTAAAATTTTAATCATATGGGTTCAATTTTTAAACTAAAACAAATAACGGGGCAGAATCAGTAATTTAACAAAAATAACAGAAACAGAGAAATTTTTAAAACTCACAGCGATGAATTGGGAGAGAATGAAATCTGGAATCCAATCAAGAAACGAGAGACCGGTATTCATGGAAACCGAAACCAATAACCGGAGATCTCTCGGAATTCTCGGTACAAGAATCTCCGATACATCTCCGCCGTGTTTTTTCATCTCCGTCATCTTCTGCTGCTGCGTAAACCCAACTCCACTACTCACAATCACCAATTTATCGATCATCTCAGGCCAAATCTTCGCGATTCGATACGCGACAAATCCACCGTAACTGATCGAGTAAACCGACAAACCTCCTCCGTCGTCTCCGTCGCAACAACCTAGCTTCTTCAAACCTCCGACGATGCTCCTCGCCTGAAAATCGACGGTCCGGTCTGTGTTATTCGAGTAAGATTTCCCGAAGAAAACCAGATCTGGGATTATGAGATTGAACGATTTCGATAGATCTGAGACTTGGTGGATGAATTGCCATTTCGAATTTCCTCCGTAACCGTGTAGCATTACGAGGTTTGGTCTGGTGGTTTTACGGTGGCCGGATATCCAGAAATGTACGGTGGTTTCTCCGTCGTTTAAATCGACAGTGATTGGTCGGAGATCGCAGAGAATTAGGAAATATAAAGATAAGAAGGAATCTGCGAGCTTGATTAGGATTGGGTAATCGAAATTGTCGAATACACACCAAATGAATCTCTTGAAGAGAGTTATTGCGATAGAGATGTAGCGATGGAGAAGATGAAGAAGGAGTTTCATGGAAGCCATTAGAGAGTGGTTATGTGAAAACAAAAATGGTGGCGAATTGGCGTTGCATGTGTTTGTAATTTGTAAGAGAGAATTGGTTGTATGGTTAAAATTAGAAACACAGAGCATTTTAAATCTTTTTACGGTCTACTCCGAATTAGAGATTAAAACCGGTTTAGATTAAGATCTAATCGTGATTTTGGATAGAAAACGCGAAATTATTATTATTTTTTTGTGGGGTTATGGATTTGGAGAGATACAGATTGCAAAACTTAACCGTGTGTAGCGTTAGAACGTGTGGAACCAGGGCGAATGCAGAGTGTTAGCAAAGGGGGCACTTGCCCATCATAAAAAAAAATTAGGCTAATTTTTTTAGAGTTTTTAAATATGCCCCGTTGATACATTATTTTATGTCTCCCATTAGATATTTTTATGATGTTTGAACGCTTTTTATGTAAAAAATATTTAATAGTTTTTAAATCTGTCTTTGATAAAAACAATTTCTAGATTCGCTACTGTGTGGAACTTATGTAAAGTTCTCGAGGGTGATACAGGTTGTCGACCCGAGAATTGGTTATATGGTTAAAAGTAGAAACACACAGCATTTTAAATCTTTTCCGTGTAGTTCACAATTTTGAGTAGTCTAAAGGTTGACTGGTTTCATTTGGTACTTAACATAGAAAATGCAATGTCTATCTTTTGACACCTAACCTGAAATTCCCACCATTTGTGCAATTTTCACAAAACGTAACTATGAAATATTAATGGACCTTCTTTTTCTTTTCCCGCCAAACCTCATTTATGGGCCAAAGCCTATTTGTTATTCTTTGGGTCAATGTCAAATTCTCAGCCCATAATTGTCAATTTATATCACAATTTATCCACATATTGTTCACTTACTGGGTTCTGACCAAAACAAAAAGATCATTGTTGTACGTTTAGA